GACATTACATTGACTTACATGCATTTCCTGGAGACTTATCCTAACCTTAACCATAACCAACGCAAGCCTAACCCTAACCCTAACCAAGTCTTCACCCTAAAATTAATGATTCCCCTCATGGGGACCTCCAATTTGTCCCCATAAGGGAGGCGAGTCCCCACACGTGACTGTGTAAACAGATTTAGGTCCCCACAAGTATAGTAATGCTAGGCCACACACNCGTCGTAACGTAACGAACGTAAGGTTACCGTTACCGTAACCGTAACGTAACGTAATAGTATACGTACGACGACACACACACACACACACACACACACACACACACACACACACACACACACACACACACACACACACACACACACACACACACACACACACACACACACACACAAATAATAATATCCTATATTGATTTTAAACAGTTTTGGGCATAGGTGCATACGTTTTTGTTTATTTAAGTAATAAGGTATTAATTAATTACTTTACCTTGTTATTGAGATTCGCCTGACACCTATCCCAGCATCCATTGTGCAGAAGACAGGGGAACCTTCTGGACATTTTTCCAGGCTTTAAACAAACAAAACCCACATTTATTGTCAGTCCAAAATCTATTTTACAACAATTTAGGTTTAAGAGTATTGGCAGTGTTTCATTTTGTTGTGCAAACTACAACAAATATATAATACTTTGGAAGAGGATGAAAAGCATAGAGAACATGTTAACCCAACAGGTAAAAGCCCTGTGTTACCTTTCAACAAATAAAATAAAAATCATATATCATAAAGAAAGTCTTCTGTATTCTTACATTTCTACATTATATAGGTGCATCTACACAAATAAAACGAATGGAACCAAAGTGATAAGCAAATGTTGTGGTACTTACTCTGCGCTCTGATGGGACATCTACTTGCTTTTTTTTCAGATCCCACCATAACAAACCTTCTTTAATATTATTCCTCTTTGTTGGTCCTGTGTGTAAAGAAAAACAACAATGTAATACAGTTCACAAATTGCTTTACAAGTAAAAATATTTACAGTTGCTACAAAAATAAGGAAAATTAAGAGAAACAGGTTTATATGAAGCAGCTGAAAGAAATACCACACAAATAAACTGCAAAATAACAGGTGATAAAGCAGACGAATGGCAACCAAAAAAAACAACTCGCAAATATAGATTTCCAAAATATTTGGAAATGCATTTAAAATACTAAGATGATGATACTTAGAAAAGCAATTTTACAGTCATTCTGGATCATGTGTCATCGTGTGTCAGCAGTTTTACTTTTGTCTTTATTTCATACCTGTTGCATAGCTCACTATCAGCCCAGCTAGCACGACTGAACTCGTCGCCATGGCACCGAAGTAGAGGTAGGACATAGAGTAGAAGTTTAGCAGGCCCCTAGTTTTCAAAAAGAAAAAGGACTGAGTAAAAATGTGTTTACATGCATCTAGTACTATGACCGGGCTTTTTATTTATTGCGCTACACCCAATCGAACATTAAAGGTAGGGTAGGTAATTCACTTCAGAAATACTTTTTGTTATATTCCATGGAATGCTCTTAACATCCCGATAGCAATGAATGCATTAAATGCCTTGACAATAAATACATTAAAAAAATTCATCTGTGAAAGCCGTGTTGCTGTAAAAAGCACGACCAATCATCTGAGCCGGCCCGGCTAAAATAACTGGATGGCCTACCTGCCTGTCAGCCTTCCATCTGTGCACAAACCTATTCTCGCTGTAAGGAAGTCTGAAGGAAGGGGCAGATTTTTCCCGGTTGTTTACTTTCAAATTCTAGCGCACTCAAGCTGGTTTCTCCATTCTTTCCTACCCTACCTTTAAGGAATGTATTTATTCATACATTTGTATTTTTATTACGTTTTGTACAAAACATTTGAATAATTCCTGCTGCAAAAAATGATTTGCTTCCTGACTGTATTCAGAAGTTGTTTGAAATGAGAAAGCGTATGAATATTGGAGAAAACTCACATTACAAAAATAGAATGATGAAGGAGATACACAAAGTGAATCTTGACACACTGGAATTTGCTGTGCTACACACTGTATGCTGAGAGTCTGTCTAAACAATAGGGAGACACAAAATGACTCTGAAAAGTGGCTAAAATTACGAAACATGATACAATACTACTTCTACTTACTTATATTGATATCTCCATCTTTAAACAATGTAAACCCCATGGGAAAAACAGTTGTGTTTCAGTGCAGGCCTGTTGGACTCACTGACCCTGGGTCACCGGGGTGAAGCAGGGTGGAGATGGAGAGTTGGTCCTGGTGAGTGCTGCTGTTCAGGGTGACGTTGAGTTCACACTCGCCTGTGTAGCTGGGCAGGACCCCCATGGTCTCCTCACTGGGAGGGTAAAGAGTTGAACCAACAGCCAGCCACAGAGAGACACAGTATCCAACAAAGATTCCTGAGAACGCTCCCTGAAAGAATAAGTAGGACTTTTAACAGAAGAGGGGGTACTTCTATTAAAAAGTGATCTCACATCACTTTGGTAAAAAAGAAAAACACACCCAATGTAAAATCATTCAACTCAGTAAACCGTATGGCAGTAAAGCATGAGATAAGATAATCTTTCACTGTTGGCAGTTATACAGCAGCTAAAGGTGATTCAAAACTTAAGATTAACAAGGGATATTGAACATCAAACCCTTCCTTGATAGATTGAGGCACTGCTCAGCTTTCTCATGCAATGTCTACATGACAAAAATGTGCCCGAAGTGTTTTTAATAAAACAGAAGCTGTGCAGTAATAACACAAATTGAAGGAATTTATGTAACTGTTTTGCTTTTTTAATAATGAATACGCTTCCCTCGGGCCACTGTTGCATTCATTTTTTTTAAGGAATCCCAGTTTGTAACTTCTATTTGTGGCTCTACCAGATGCAACAAGGTAATGATATTGTAGTTACAACTTGGCAAAGCGGTATGAGGCAGCATCTTGTTAAGGTCGATTTGAAGCTGTTGCTCTGACAGAAATAACATTTCTTCAAATGTTCTGTTACATTGTGCACACATCTTTCTGTCTGAGGAAAAAGATAACCAACCAGGAAATGCAAGCAACTTACCAGCCTGTTTGTTGCTGGGAAAAACATTCCCAAAATGAATACACCCAGTAATGGACCGCTGACCACCCCCATTACTGTGAACGATCCCTGTACAGAGAAGATACAAATAATTCCAGACTTTATTACAGAGCACAAAGTAAATCGTATACTCTGTAGAATCGTATAGAACCATTGTTCAGTTCCTGATAAAGTCATTTATAGGTCATCATGAGATAAAGTGATCTTTAGATAGTGTACCTGAAGAACTCCCAAGTCCAGGAGGGAGGAGAGAGCAGCTACCGTGATACAACCGACTCCGTACAGAAGAGCTTAGAGAGAAGATAGTAATTATACAACAACCAAAAATGGTATTATCTAATATGTGGTCAATGTGAAATATGAATTGTGAGGAAATAATGAAAAAATAAGCAAATGGATAGAAAGTCAATTAGGGGAATGTTTTTCGGTGAGTTTAGACTTACACAGTCCTCTGGAAATGAGTATCAATTTCTTCTGGGTCATGTGGACCAGACGAGGTCGCAGCAGATCCTCCATTGTTACTGCAGCCATTGCATTGATACTTGTGGAAGCCGTGCTGTAAAAAGGCATGTGACTAGTTATCCCACATCAGCATCAACATTTACTTTCTTAGATTGAAGATTGAATACCTCAGAGTCCCGCTGTATGCACAGGCAAGGAAAAGACCTGGAAATCCAGGGTGATTTTTGAATATGTCCAGCACGAAGTACGGCATGTACTTTATCAGATGAGAGATAAAGAGAAACAAGGAAAAATGAATTTCTGTATTAGAACATTTTTATTATTTCCAGACATTTCATTGTATATGATCAAATTCATACTGTAAATGAAATAATGTCTCACTGTCTTGAGGCGTTAACAAGATCATTTTTACATCCTGTTCGCACATTTATAAAATACACCTCAGCTTTCACTGCTATTTGATCTGAATTCAAGCATCGGTGTGGTGAACAGCCAAAGTAAACATTTTACATTTTAGAGGTACAGATCCTCTTTGAACAACTTTAAAGATCAGGTATTAATTGTACGCTAAACAGCATCATGCTTTGGTCAGGCATCGATATGAGTGTCTTGAGTACCAGATCAGGGGCAGAGATCCTCCCAGACTTCAGTGGATCACATTTAATGTAATAGGCAAACATGACGATGCCGCAGGTGGCTGCACTGCTCACAATGAGGCACAGACCCACTTGGTTCACAAACAGCGCCCTGCAATCAAAAAGCACATTTCATTACCAGACTTCTATTATTTACTCACTTGTGTGGACTTTAGATTTGGCCTGATGATATTTCTGTTGTTTAAAAAATATATTTTAAGGTCTGTGCTAAAATCTGAAGGGCTGTTGTATCTTTTAATGTAATTTGGGCGATTCTTTAATAAACATTTCAGAGTAACAATATCTGATCATATTAAAGGTCCCATGTCATGGCCATTTCTACTGATCATAATTCCATTGTTGAGGTATACTAGAATAGATTTACATTGTGCAATTTTCCAAACTCACATTGGTTTCTCCAACAGCATCTCTGTATAGTATGTGTATTCACTCTCTGTCCTAAACGGCTTGTTGGAGCTCCTGCCCCCCCACCTCCCTGTGAGCCCACTGTGCTCTGATTGGTCAGCTCGCCCACTCTGTTCTGATGAGTCTACCACTATGGTTTACCACCGTCACAGCGGAACATCAGTGATTATGTGTTACAATGGCGTTAGCAACCAGCGATCCTTGCGAACGCCGTGGCGCAGCCGTAACGTGACCGTAACGCGACGCAGACGGACCCGGTGG